TCGATCGGCTTATATCGGCACCTATTTATGCTGAACGGAAATCATGGCAAATCGGACGTAAATAGTATCAAATCAGTCTAAAATCGGCCATCCAATTTTTAGCCGATTTGGACTATTTCGACTAGTGTGCCAATACTGCTATATACTCTTGACATCTATATAAGCAAAATATTCAAATACCCTACATTGGACAACACACATGTGAAGTGTTAAGAATTTGTTTGCCTTTATGTAACCAGGCATTTGATAATATTAAAAAGCCTTAAAGCATTGTTATTCATATTATGAGATGTTGGGTGGTCACATTTATTATCATCCTGATAAGGGAAAGTATACAAAAATATGTATTACTGAGAAATTACACATTGATGATACAATAAAAAGTCTTAAATATTTAGGTAATTGGTTAATTAATATTGCACAAACTGGTAATGATAAATTTAAAAAAAAATTACTCATAGAAACTTCCAGAGCATTACTTTCTTTTACATCTGTTCTATTTAATCAAAAAGATACCAATAATAATATTACTACTACATCTACCAATATATCAACCAATATATCAACCAATCAAGCAAAAATTTTTTATAACGAACCTCCTAATTTATTTATGATAAAGATCATTTTTAAAAAAAAAGAAGTAAAAATAAATTCTGAAATTGATTTTGAAAAATTTGGACATGCATTTAGTCAAAAATTATGGAATTCACAATCAGATGTTAAATCAAAAAAATTGGCTTTAGAATCTCCACAAACTATTCAGAAATATTATGATGCTTTTTTCAAATTTTTAAATAGGTTTTTTTCTGGAATGATAGATGAATTGTATCAGAAAAAAGTGATGGTATGCAACTGGCAGAAAAGAAAATGTGAAAAATTACGATTCCTAAACATACAACAAAAATTGTAACATTTATTACATCAATGCTATTAGGAATTGCTTTTCCTCACTTAAAAATTTAGTTACTCCAAGCTTTATCTAACTTTAGCTGTATGCCATGATTATTAGGCTCTTTTCAACAATTATTGACAGTTTGTTATGTTATATCACATAGCGATCAGCATGAATGAAGGCTTGCAAAAATATGAATAGAGGATTCAGATCTAACAAACTGCCTAATTAAAGGTAAAAATATTTGGAACTTAGCTGTAATTGATAACATTGACTTTAAAGAAAGAAGCTTTAAGTTTGAAAATATTTATGATGTCACCTGTGAAAATTCATATGCCACTTTGAAAATGGCTTTTCAAGCCCAGTTGCTGATTGAAATAAGCATTGGCCCTGAACAAGTTATTGAGTTAACAGCTGAAACTCCATTATTTGGGATGAATCAGGGTATTGATAGAACATTAATAATATTTCAGCAAACTATTTTTGAAATGTTAGATTTTAAGGAGATTAATGGTAAACTAATTTACAACAAAAACTTTGATGCAGATAGTATTAAACGCGTTATACTTTCCAAATTAGACTGTGGATGTTTTGGCCTATTATCTAATATTGTAATATTAGAGCTAGATAGCAACCCAAATTCAGATGAAGAAATTTCGCGAGTTGCTAAAATGTATAAAAAAGATTTTGCACTAGAAAGTTATTTTTTTTTGAATATTGTAGCAGACGAAGCAATTCTTCACAGGTTGATTAAGTGTTAGAATGAATGGCCAAATATAAGACCTCTCCTTGAATAGTGGTACACATCAAAGGACTTTTATTCAGTTTTGTTAGTTCTATTCTCTAGTTATAGATTGTTAAGCTTGGCGTCATATTTAGGTGTCTGTTTTTTGAATAAATTTGAAACAGCTGTTGATTATTATTCAACAGCACGAGTGTTAAATATTTTATGGGTGGTAGTAGAAACAGCAATTAGTATTTATATTACTAAAAAAGGAATATTATTTTTCAAAATAATGGATAATGAAAATCATATTTGTCTTAATGTATAAAATAGATTTTATTAAAATTTAAAATTATAAAAAAAAAAGAAATAAACAAAAAAATACGTTCTAAGATATTATTTTTTATATTCTTATTATTTTAATTTTATTTAAATTAATAAAATCAAAATTTTAAAATTATTTAAAAATGTATTAGGTATAGTACTTATATTACCAATAGGCTGGAATTTGGAAAGCATATAGGATGGGAATGCGTGTAGGAAACTTTGACTTGTAATGAGATTCTTTATCTGCAGCAGGACTACTATATGCTAGTGCTACTAAATCAAATTATACAACAGCTATAGCTTATTTTCTCATTACTATAGAAGTCCATCCTGAATTAAAAAAGAGATTGCATTATTGTGGTGCTTTTAAAATACCTTACGATATTGATAAAAATCCTGAGAGTGCACGTCATGTATGTTTTGGTTTTGACAAGATTTTGGAAACTTTTGGTGTAAAATTTATAAAACAAAACATTAGTGGAAATGTAATTGATGAAAGAAATCTTAAAAACCAGATAAAATCCTCTCAAAATGAAAGAGATAGAGTAGATTTATTAATTAATGAATATAATAATAATTATTTAACTTTGTGCAGCTAATAGGCTATTGACTCACGCCAAGAATCATTATGGAATCTAATTAATAAACTTGTAGTAATTTTTGGAATGGATGACCCCTTATCTCACCAATTATTTCAAGAATATATGCCAACAGAAATACATCAGAAAGGTCTTGACCACCTAATTGCATGCTATCCAAATGAATTAGAATAAATAAAAAGAGTATATCGTCAAGAAGTTTTAAAAATAGAACATAAAAATTCACAGGGTAAAAGAGCAGTGGGATTATTAAAACAAAATTAAAAGATTATAAAAATTAAAGAAAAACAAGGAGCAAAGCTGAAAAAAAAGGAAAAACTATTGAATCTACATAATTAGCATAAAAAAAATCAGTAGAAAACTCTAATGAAACACAGCCTCTAAAACAAAGAAATACAACAGGTAGTAAACATCGAACTACAAAAGATGAAATGGTAATACTTTTTCCATTAAAAACTTATAAGAATAAACTCTCAGATAATGCTATTGCTTCTGCTCATAAACAATTGTCAGAGATTTGGACCGTAAAAAAGTACGAGATTGGTGGAATTATCATAAAAATAAATAAATAATAGGACAATAAAATATCACTTAATTATATAATAAAATAAAAACTTCTGATTTCTCGAAAAAATACTAATCTAACCATCTTTTTGAGTCTAAATGTTTTGATTGCATGTAAAAAATTATACATAATTGGTAATTTAAAATAACATTTAGTCTTTAAATAAACTTGCATCTAGGAACTAAAGTCAAAATAATAGGAAAAGTCAGTCTAATAACAGTTTTTTGTAAAAGTGTTGTATTATAAAAAAAAGAATTAAAGCGTGTAGGTAAAGTCTTAAAAAATAATTGTATTAAGATTTGTGAACACGTTACTTGAAAAAAATCAATGTTGCATTAGATGTACATTTTAGTTATCTATAGTTATACCAATTTTTAATTAATGATCGCTATGTGAACTGAAATGTCCGCTGACTGTTATTAAAATACAAAATTTAAAATTATATAAAAATTTATAAAAAATAGTAATTTTATAAATATTAACAAAAAATTAACAGAATTAAAAATTTATTATTTATTAAATTTAAAATAAATTTATATAAGTAATTTATTTAAAACTAATAAAGTTTAAAACTGATTTTAAAGAAACATAATTTATTTTTTAAATCTAATCTACCTTAATATATACTATTTATATATAAGGTATTTGAATATTATATAAAATATAAAAAAATAACAAATAATATTTTTAGAATAAAAATTTTCTTAAGTTCTTAAATTAATTAATAAATAAAATATAGTAAAATAGAATACAATATAATAAATTATAATTTAATATATATAATTAATATTAAAAATCTTAAATTAATATAATTTTATATAATAAATTTATATATCACATAATTTATATATATATATTCTGTATTTATTAAAAAATATTTATATAAATACATTATATTTTAAATTAAAAAGCTTGTAAAAGTATTTTTAATAGATATTTATTTAATAAAAATCAAATAATAGCTTTTATATTATTTTTTTAATACAGTTAACTCTTGTTATAATGAACTTTATATTCTAGACCTCAATTTTGCTATAAAGTTATAGTAAAGATTTTAAGAGATTTAATTGGCTAATTCATTATAATAAGAATATTTTTATTATATTTATTCAAAAAAAATTCATTATATTAAAAGTTCATTATATCAAGAGTTGACAGTATTTAATTTTAATTATATCATATCTAAAAATAATATTATAATTAGTTATAACCTTATGATGCTTATTTATTACTAATTATAATTAGTTATAACTCAATTTTTATTAATATTTATAATTATTTACAACTCTATGATACTTATTTATTATCAATTACAACAAGTTGTAGCACTATTTTTATTTATCTCTTACTAAGTTAATTGTTTGTTTAACATAACATATGTTAATTGATAAGAGAGGGGGCTAAAAATAATACATATATATATAATTTTCTATATTGCGTGAATTGTATTTATTCTTTAATGATTTATTTATATATATTTAGTAAAATCTGTACATTTTATTATATTCTGCATTAGACTAAATAACCTGTTGATTATTTAATATTAAAAAAATCATTTATGTTTACGACGTTTAGAAGAGCGTCCATTAGTTTTAATCTCTCTTTTAGTATAAAATGTTTTTCTATTTTCCTGACATCCTTCACATAAAGGATAAATTTGCTTGAAGCATTCTTTTAAAGATTGAGGAAGAGTTACCAAGTTTTCACTTTTCCCAAAATAATAACATATTAAATAATTGCCTGATTTGTGACTTGAATAATACAATATTTCAATTGGTAAATCACAACTGATTCAGATGCGCACAAATATTACTTCCTTTAAATAATGATCATCAGGAAAATTGGTGCACCACAAGAATACGAATATGACTCTAATGCTTGTTGATGATCTTCTTATTCTTCATGAGTTAAGGATTTTTCACTATACATACAGCGACGTTTTCCACAATCTTCACAATTAATGTAACCCCAAATTTTTGATATAACCAAAATGGACTTTGAAATAGGTTCTGCATTTGCTTGTGATTGCATGTATGTTGGTCTATACTCTTCGGTAATTTCAAATTCATAAACATTTCGAAAAGTTGCATAATGATCTATATTATCTAATTTTTTTAGAAAAAAAATTTATTATTGTTCAATTAATATTAATTATACAAAATACATTAGATTACCTTGTGAAGGAACTGGATTTGAAAGAAAATTTAGGTTATGAAATTCAGATAATGGAAGGCGAATTGGTTTATAATATAAACAGGTAGGATTATTGCATTTTTTTATCTTGAAAAATAAAAACAATTATTAATAATAAAATATAAGAAAATTAATATATTATAAAATATTAAAATATATACCTGAAAGCTATAGGCATGTGCACGGCAATGAGTGTTTATAAATTCAACTAATGTAGAGTGATAACGTATTTGAGCTTATGTAGTTTCTTCGATTTTTAAAGTTAGATCTATATCAAAAATAGACTGCATAAAAATAAGAATTTTATAAGTATAAAATTGAAAAAATGTAAAAAAATATAAAAAAAAACTTTACCTCAAATAATTCAACAATGCTTTCCTTACTTGCTGGATCGTAATATTTAAATTTTTTATCTTTGAATAAAAGCTGTTCTGTTCTATTATTTAATAAATTTTGAACACTTGTTATATTTTTTTTAATTCAGATTTTAATTCATTAAATTCTTGAGCTTTTTTTCGTATATCATTTAATGTATTTACTGTTTTAAATAAAGTTTCAGATTTAGAACTTATTTGATCATGCTTAAGTGCAATATCTTGAAGACTTAAATTTAAAGTTCTCATAATCCGCTCTGCAGGATTTGTCCAACTATGATTAGGAGCTATACGAACTGTAGTAAGTAAATCAAAATCTCCACGAAGAAAAAGACAAATCAATGCAATTTGTACTGATCCATAGTTACATTGATGATCTGGACCTCCATCAGTATAAAAATATAAAATCGGAGGTAATATTTGGTGTTCATACTGGATATTAAGTGTATTTAAAAACTCAGTTAAATGTCGGATAATACTACTTTGTTCAAAAACTGTATCCTTGTAAGATATAAATACTTGACCATCATAAAATGATTCAGAAATTTCATTAGGAATTGAAATAAAAAATATAACAGATGATATTAAGGAGAGTTTAGTAAAATAATGATCAGTAGCGGCTAAAATACTTTTTTTTTTTTTTTTTTTTTTCTATTAATGTGCGCTGGCTTAAGGCCCCGCTAGAGAAAAACCTGTTAACCAAGTTAATGTAACCCTCGAAGCTAGCCTTTTAAGTCTCCGATCCTCAGTTAAGGGGTATAGCAACCCAGCACTAGAAGCACATTCCTGTCAGTTGCCACCTAGTTAAACCACCTATAATAGCTATACCCGCAATTATAAGCTCACTAGACCGTCAGGTACTATCATTTTTGGATAGAGGGTTCACTTCAACCATAGAGCTTGTCACACCCTATTTTTACTAATCTAATTTATAGGGTTTTACCCTATTGATGACTACTGAGACCGTGGGATCGGGTCCTTTACATAGATAGTAGTTTTGTACCCATAACATCAAATTCACCTGGGAATTGAACCCAGCCTCTATCCCTAATGATAGTTCGATTGGATAGTGCTGCGGCGTGCAATGCAGTCTATTATCACCATAGCCTACCTGAAGGAGGTACTCAATCTACTAATTACTGGTTAACCATTTCCTTACTTGTGTAAGGGCCCCTGAATTTGAAGACGTAAGACAGTATCCATTACAGACCTATCAGCGAAGGCCAAGTTTCTGTCGATCTCTGGCTTCATTTGCATCCACTTGTTCTTCAAACCCAATATTTAGGCATGATTAACGTCAATCGACAGATCGATCGACCAGTATCTAACGTTTATTAGTCTAAACGCTCACGTATTCAGTTACATATGAAATTCTTATGAAAATCATCTAGTTTTATGCCTCAGCTGAAACCTGAACCTGTGACTATTGCAGTGTAACCTACAATAGGAGCTCAGTTGTTACCAACTAAACTAGGGATGCCAATCCCCAGTAGCGGCTAAAATACTGTCTTGAGTAACTATAAAACGTCAATTTTGTACATCTGTAGAAACTGCAACATCTTCTCCAATGAGAATTTTGTGTTTATCATCAGCAGATATTAAACAAGTCCATTGACGATACTGAATACAGAATTCTCTAAGATATTGAAAAAGTGCTACACAATAATGTGCATCATCACTATTTTTTTGAAGCAACCTGCTTTGCACTTTAAATTTTACATTAAATTGACCAATATGTTGTATTGATCGTATTGTTATAGTATTTGTAGGACAAAACTGAAGACGAATCCATTCTTCTAATGGAATATGGATAGTAAAAGGAAGAGATCATTATGAAAAATTTTTAGTCTTTCTATTATAATTTCACAAAGATCACGAACAGATAAAGCCAATGGCATATATAAAATAGTTCTATGACGCCTTTTATCTACTGCAAGCAAATTCTATAAATAAATTTATAAATTAATAACTTGTAAATAATAAATCATAATAAATAACATTTTTTATACCTGTTCATTGAAATAAGCTTCTGATTCATCCCAGAATGCATTAAATTTTGTTTCATTAAATCCATTATTTATTTGTAAATCAAATATAATGGTAGGATCTACTAAAGTTAGCATTAATCATAATCTTTCTTCCATTTTACAAGAAATAGCATTTGAAGTTATAGCAGCATTACCAGTAAGGTCAAAATAAAGCATTCTTAATATTGCTGGTGAAACTTTCTTAATATCTTATATAATAAAAAAATACTTGTATCACCGCTGACCTTTAGAGTAACTGCATAAATAATAATTAATTGTGTACCATTACATTAATTTCCAAAAAAAGAAATTTAGCTTTTGACTTTTTTCATTTTTTTTTAAACTGAAGCATATATTTAAAAAAAACCGTGGAAATGATATTATCATATTTTAAGATTCCATAGAATTTTATGTTATCGACATTAAAATTTGGATAATTATAATTATCTTCTTATAATAAAAAAAATATGCTGACCTTTAGACCATTAGTATAAAAAAATTTAAATTGTATTACCATTTTGTATGACAATCATGAATGAATTTTTGTTCTGTTATTAAAGCAAAAATATAAATCTTGACCCGTCACGTATGTGAAACTTGACCCACCTGTATGCACATTATCGATCACATATATTTTATAATACATAATGAATAGTATTGATAATGTGCATGCAGGTGGGTCAAGTTTCACGTACGTAATAGATCAAGATTCATATTTTACGTTTGTTAGCCAGAATTAACAAATAATATAACTAGCGTTAACGAATATGATTTTATACCAAAATCAGAATATAAACGAATCTCGGCCTAGCATTAAAAGTATGTTGGCCAGGTTTATAATATAACTCGCATTAATGCGAACAATAAGTATTAGCCCTAAACCACATAACCTGCATATATTGAAGTCACGTGATTGTTCGTTCTAAGAAGTCGTGTCATGTTTATTGAACGTGAATTAGATTTCAGATGGCTTCTATACAAAATTCGTTTGAAACAGCTGAAATCCCTGAATAACGTCGAAAAAGGATTGGTAGGGAGAAGCAAGCATGTTACAATAAAAAATAAAAAATTAATCATATGGAAGATAATATCTATATAGATAGGATTGTGTATCATGATTTGGGAAGAATGAATCAGACATATATCCATTGTGGTGACAAATTTTGGCTTAGTGAAAAAGATCAAAAAAGTATACGTACTTCCCCAACTTTTGCAATGTGTTGCGCCGATGGTAGGGTTAGTTTGCCACCTTTGCTTAAGCCTCCATCATATCTGTTCCATTTGTATACCGCAGCAGGATCTGATGTGAATTCATTTTGTAAAAAATCAGATCATATAATACCATTTTAGCCTGTACGTCATTTGGTGCAAATTTAGATCAGAAATTGTGTAGTCAAGGCGTATCTAATTTCTGAATTCATGGACAAATCTATCATCATATTGGACCATTGCTTCCTGATGAAGCTCAATCACCAAGGTTTGTCCAATTATACATCTATAACACTCTCCATGAAACTACCAACAGACACAACATCGTACAAGGGTTGAATGAGAATATTCTCCAATATCTACAATCTATGCTACATAAATTCAACCCGTACATTTAATGTTTCCGTCAAGTGAGAGATATTATTCAAACAAACAGAACCAATAATATCTTGATGTTGATACATGGTGACTGAACACATGATCCACGTCATTACAATACTCTTACAACCGCAGATGTAGCAGCAATTATGATCGGTGATGGTCATGATCTTAATCTATCTAATAGAAATATTCTTCTCAGATTGCGTGATGAAGGTTTGCAAAGAATATCTGAACTATATCCATCATATGACCCACTTCATTATGTGCTATTGTTTCCAAAATGTGATGATGGTTGGCACATAAATATACCTCTCATAGGGCTGTAAAAAGGGAAAGGGTAACCACAATGCAATTCTATTCTTATAGATTGCAGATTAGAGATGGTGATTGGTTGCAGCATGCTGGTCATTTGTATCAGCAATATATCGTTGACTAATATGCTAAAATAGAACAGAATCGTTTGAATTATTTCAGACAGAATCAAAAAACACTTAGAGCTGAATTATATCAAGGTGCTTTAGATGCCATACATGCAGGAGATAATAGTAACAATATCGGTCATCGAATAATCCTCTCATCATCATTTGCCAGTGGACCACGTCAAATGTTTCAATTGTACTATGATGCAATGTCTATTGTAGCACACTTTGGGAAGCCTAATTTTTTCATAACTTTTACATGTAATACTAAGTGGCCAGAAGTAACCAGAGAATTATTACCTCATCAGACTACTGCTGATAGACCAGATTTGACTGCTCGAGTTTTTCATCAAAAGTTACGCAAACTACTCAAAGACCTGTGTGAAAAAATTGTCTTGGTAAAGTTATTGCATATGCTTACGTAGTAGAATTCCAGAAACGTGGTTTGCCTCACGCCTATATACTGTTAATACTGATACCAGAAGACAAGATACGATCTGCA